CCCCGTGGCTCAGTTTCCAGGCTGAGAGTCGCAGTGCCAGCTGCCCTGGAGGATGCCCGGCTGATGGGGGGCACGTGCCTTCCGAGCCCCCTTCGGTCTCTGCTCCGAGGAAGTCTCTCTGCCTGCGCTGCTGACTTCGCGAGGCCTCCCGGATACCAAGGGGACTAGAGGCGGTTTCCTTGCCCCCTTTATGCCCAGGGGGTATTTTAAGGGGCATGGCCTGCCATTCAGAAAGGAGGGGGCTGAGACCAGGATGTTTGAGGGAAGGTGGCTGGGGGCCCCCAGCTCTGCAGCAGCCCCCAGCTCCTGCCACACTCACCTGGGCTGGGAAGCTAAGCTGGGTCAAGCCTGGGGAGGGTTTGGATGGGAGGCTACCTGGAAGGCCCTGGACTGCAGGTTATCCTGGGAAATAATTTTTTTTAAAAACCTAGAAAAAAAGGCCATGGTCAAACCCTTGCAGTTGCAGGCATTCTGGCTAGAAGGCGACTTCCTTTGTCTTCCTGCAGAGATACGATAACAACCCACCTTGCAGATTCTGCATCTCTGTATGAATCTGCCTTTTGGGGTTTCGGTGGGGAGATTTTCCAGCCCTGCTTGCTTGTGCTGGATCTGAAACCGAGACCTTCTGCGAGTAAACAGGACGCTTGAGCAGTGAGCTACGGTCGCTTCTAAGCCAAGGAAATTGACTATACGAGGCTGCCGGATGTATAATATTTCTGTCTGGGGAGGCAGGTTGGACCTACCGTCGGTGGATATTGCGTGGATGAATGCAGAAAAGTCCTTGCAACCCCTGGGGTGGTTTCTCCCTGCCGGTCTGCTCTGCGATGTTCCCAAATTAGGCATTCATCTCAGGTCAGGTCAGGCACACGATGCTACGCTTTAAAAGTGCTGCGGCTATTTATAGCAAATCGTGTCCCTGGAATCATAATCCTTGTAATCTTTTTATCACTTTGCTTTTCTCTCTTCAGTGAGAAATGGATAGAAATGGCACAAATTGCTATAAAAAAGGGGGGGGGAGATCATGACGTGCACCTTGTTTGCACTGCTGGATATCTCGCAGTGAAATCATCCTCAGGTTTATTAACGCACTGAGAGGTTCGTGGAACCCAGCAAAGTGTCGTTTTTTGAATAAACCAAAGTTGGCTAGGTTCATAAACGAAGACTTAAGTTTTGGCTTACAAATCATCATGGTGGGGTTTGCACAGCGTGCTAAGCTAAACCCAACTAAGCACGTTTTATGGCTTGGTTTAACTCAGAGGTTGACGTGAGCAGAAAGAGTGTTAACGGTTCTTTGCAAGATCATGCCCTGGATTCACCTCTCTCTGCCATTAAGGAATAATTCTAGTTTGGGGAAGGACCCCAAAGAAAGGCTAAGCACCAGGGAATTTTTATTTGCTTGCATGAAATTTCCATCTTGGCGAAACAAGCTTTCCAGAATCATCTTTGAACCCAGATTGAGCAACCAACATGTTTCGTTATGAAGGTTTCCCTAAGAGGGTCAACGGTATCTAAATGAGGTTTGCAAGACTCCAAATGTGGATATCAACCTTATTTTCCAAGAGAAGGGAGATTCTGTTCATACAAGATAAGAGTGTTAGGCTTCTAGATCAGGGCTGTTCAAACTACCATATATACTAAGCTGAGAATTTTATGTTCCCAAATACAACTCCAAAATTGGGTTCAGCTTATCTGTGGACCAGAGCTCAGATTTTTTAAAGCCCATCACAGCCTTAAAATTGTGCAGCTCTAGAAATGGTATAAGTTTGCAGTTTCCCGCCTGTTGCTGTGGTCAAAAATTTGAGGGTTGGCTTATCCAAGGGTGACACATTTTTCACGGTATTTTGGTTGAAATTTTGCAGGTTGGCTTATCCGCAGGTGGGCTTATCCGCAATTATATATGGTACATTCCATGGAATTCTAGGGTTCTGCGAGAATTTGATGGGGTCTGTGAACAAATAAGGGCAAAACAAAAATTCACTCAAACCTAGTTGGTTTCCTGTCACTAGAGCAGTGTTTCTCAACCTTGGCAACTTTAAGATGGGTGGGCTTCAACTCCCAGAATTC